TCGAAATTCAAATTAGGTTGGGGCCTATAAATACCCCACCCTTTCAGCAATGAAAGGGTAACCTAAAGGCACCGAAAGCTTGATCTTTCTCTGTGATTTTAGAGCACAAAAGTGTTGTAAAGTCTAGAAGTTCTTCTCCCTCTTTTCTTCCAAGTTCTGATCTTTCAAGAGAGGAGAGAAAATTCTGTAAGGGTTGTCTCCTAAGCCCGTCAAAAGGAGTGAAACTGTAAAAGGGTGGTTGGCCTTCGCCTATTGAAGGAAGGCCTCTAGTGGACGTCGGTGACCTCGTCGGAGGAGGAAGCCAGAAGTGGATGTAGGTCAAGATTGACCGAACCACTCTAAAATTACGGTGCTCTCTGGTTTGCATTTACTTTGAGCATATTATCCTTACTGCAAACCTCCTCAATAGCTTACTGCCTTCTGCGCTTTTACAATCATGTTTCAAAGTTCAGTATTTTCCGAATCGGTGTTTAGACGTAAATCAGTTTTACCGTACGAACATCATATTTCAGTTTGCGCTTACATTCTGATTTCCATCATAACTGCAAACTGCCTTTATAGATTCGCTTTAACTGCATCTTGCTTCATCACAAGTTAAAGTGATTTACGAATCGGGTTTTCTACCAAAATCGCTCTTATCGAACGAACGTAATTTTAATCGTTGAAAGTTTTCCGCTGCACTAATTCACCACCCCCACCCCCACCCCCCCTCTTAGTGCTCTTGATCCTAACAATTCATTGGGCCCAACATAATCCTTAAATGGGCCCAACTGGCCCCTAATTAGGTTGGCCCAAATCCAATCTCAATTACGTGCTAACTATGAATTCTAAGACATTTCTAAGCTAAACAAGTCCGTAAGTCTAGTTTCTTCCGACGAGCTTCTGACGATCTTCCGGCAAACTTCCGATGATCTCTCGGCAATATTCCAATGGACTCCTAGCAAGCTCTTGGACTTCATACGATCTTCTTAGTGAGTTCCAACGAGCTTCTCTAGCAAGCTCCTAGACTTCTCGACTGGTTCCTGCAAAACTTCCGACGAATGTCCGGACTTCTGACGAACTCTCGAACTCCCAATGAAATCGTGTTCTTGACTTCGGGACTTTATTTTGCTTTATGCCTTACTATCATAGTTAATCCTGCACATGTGAAAACACACTTCAATCTAGACAATTATTACTAAGCTTGAATCATATTGTCCAGCATGTCATTGGTCCATCGACGCTTTGTCCGATTCTTCGACGCATCGTTCTCTCTTATGACCTATTGCATAATCGGTTAGTTGACTCCACAACTCTGATATTCTTGGTGCAATATCTGCTCTTCTTGGCCCGATGCCCGAATCCATGGCCCGAAGCATTCTGTCGATACGTCATATGATCCTCCGACTAGACGTCCAATCTTCTAACATATTCCACCAGCCCAACATGATTCTTCCTGCTTTAATTGTCTCATCCTGATTGAAGCATCCTGTGTCACTCAAAACGTAGATCAAATCATAAATACTATCAATTGGTTTCATCATCAAAATACGAGATTCAACGCTAGACAATTATTATAAAGCATTAACCACATATTGTCCGGCATGTCATTGGTTCATCTGCACTTAGTCTAATCCTTCAGCGTATCGTCCTCTTTTTATGGTTATTTGCCCAATCGACATGTTGACCTCTGTAACTCTGATCTTCTTGGCACAATGTCTACTCTTCTAAGCCCAATGCTTGAACTCATAGCACGAAGCCTTATGCCAACATGTCGACTGATCCTTCGACTCGACATCCAATCTTCTAACATATTCCACTCCAGCCCAATATTGATTCTTCCTGCTTTAATTGTCTCTTCATGATTGAGGTCAATCTTGTGTCACTTAAATGCACATTAGATCATTAACTTTATCAATTGATTTCATCGTATATAGATGAGGGAAGTCTTATTAAGACCCATCATAATACCATAATATTATAGTTGCAATCCTTTATGTTATCATTATTCTTGTTAAGTTATGTTTTTTTAATCATTTCTTCAACTTGATGCATTTTGATATTCATGATGTAATATAATATATATGACATATAAATAAAGGGAGTCTTGTTAAGATCTTGTCATCAATTGATTATCATTATAAAAAAAATATTATTAAATCTTAAATTTTGATTATGAAATCAATAGATAAATTTGATAAAATAATATACTTTTGAGATAAATGATACGTGAAATACTTCGATTATAGAATCGGACCATCGAATGGCCAAATGCCAAGCTATAGAGTTTGATATTATGTTAGAAGATTGTCATGTCAATATTGGATACTAAGCCAATGGATTGATTGACATGTCATAGATCGAACTTTGTACTATAAGTTCAAGCATCATATTGAAAGAATCAAATATTATGTCAAAAAATTAGATATCATGAGAAAGTCGATATGTTAGTGGAATATGTAATATTCCGAAAGATAAGGCGATGTATTGAAGGTTTAGACAAAGTGTCAAATGATCGCATAACATGTCCAAAGAGTGGACAATGTGCCAAAAGTTTTAAAGATATGCTAGATAAGTGGTTGATGAGTCAATTTGGATCGGTCTTAGATTGAAATATAACTCACTTATCATAAAAACTATTAAGCTTAAAATCGAATTGAATTGGGCCAGTTAGAAAGTCAAACCAATGGTCTAAATTAGGTTTGAGTGGTGGTACCATCAAGCGCAAGTAATGTTATTGCCTAAGTCAATTGACAAACGCAAATAGTGTTTTATCAACCTTTCCAATGATAGTACTCGCCTATGATGATGGTTGTACCAACTAGGGCAATGGTAGTACCATCCAAAATTCAAAATTTATGGTGGTAGGACCACTGAAGCCTAGATTTGTGCCTCATCAAAAGTTATGATGGTAGTACCACCTAGTATTAGCAATAGTGTCGTTCGAATCCTAAATTTTAAAGATTTAAATTTTTGACTCTATTTTTTATATCTTTTGGGGCTTATAAATACTCTACTTAGGCTTGGTTGATATAGCATCAATTCTTGAGTTTGTAAAGTATTGTGGTTCTTTATTTGAGCATTGTTTGAGTATCCTCCTTCTCTTAGAGTTTAGTTACGATACTAGTGATAGAAGTTGAGAAGTCTCTTGTAAAAAAGTAAATGTGAAGATTCTCTCTTAAACATAGAAAAGGAAAAATGTCTTCACTCATTAGAAATAAGATCGATAGTGAAAATTAATTATCTCGAGAGAAGAAGAATCAAAAGTAAACATATATAAGAAAGATCGAACCATTATATAAATCACTTTATATTTGTTCTCTTGCTTGTGATTTTTTATGTTGCTTACTTATTTTTTTTCACCTTAATTCAAACTATAACTCACATTTAAATAATCATATTTTCAAAACATGTTATTTATTATTAAATTTTTTAATTAATTAAAATTATTATAGTATTAATTCATTCCCTCTCTTTTTTTTCTCTTAGTGCCATAAAGATAATAACAATAAAAAATTAAGCTCATTAGTTGAGGCAACATCACTACCCTAAGTCTAAGTCTAGAGGAAGATTGAGAATTAGAGATTTAGACACAATCAAGAACATTAATGAGGCTAGAAAAATCCTTCTTTCCTCGATAAGGAAGACAAGCTTTGGGTTTGTATTTTATTAACAAATAGGCTACCCCCACTCTTGGAATCTTCCTACAAATCGGGTTATAGAACTTGGAAAAGACTTTGTCAAATGATCTATAATTCAAAAACTGAATTTAGGAAAATTTTGAATTCTAGCACTAGCATTAAAATATGGGAGGATGTTTGGATTGATAACATACCACTAAGCAAATGACCTTTTTTTTTTAATATCAACGAGGCTCTTAACTATAAGACTCTCAGACCTTATCATGGTTAACTAGTGGGATTCTCATAAACTTAATAGGTTATTTCACCCATATCTTATTGAAAGAATTACTAGCATACATATTCACATTAGACCCATGAAGGATGTTTGAATTTGGACTAGAGACCCTGAAGGTGAGGCCAGCTCCAAAAGCTTTACCAATCACCACGGGATGGGCACTCTGACCAAGATGAAGTTTGGAGGGGTTGGAAGACTTTGTGAACTCTTAAGGTAAGATCTAGTGTTAAACATTTTCTTTGGAAACTATTGTCGCAAAGGCTTCCAACTACTAAGTGGTTATCTAAAATTATGCATTGTTATCCTAGTGCTTGTCCAGTTTTTCAGGTTGGAAAGGATGATTATGAGCATGTTTTCTTTGAGTATCGATTTTCCTTGGAACTTTAGTCTATCATCCAAGAAAAACTTAATGTACAGTTTGAGTTTTCCAAGGATTGGGCCATAGGTTCTGGTTTGATGAGGGTGAGAACCTTAGAAACTAATTCTAAACGGTGTTTAAGATCCTTAATTGCTAATGCTTTATGAAATAAAATCATGCATAACAACCACCATGCAACACCTAACATTATTAAAGCTAAGGCTCTCTCTTGTGAGCAAGAGTGTGGAACCACCAACAACCCTAAGGGGCATGAGGAGATGAAATTAGAGGGAGTTGAAAAAATTCGACCTGTAATAATTATCATCATTAATTGTGATATCTCTTTTTCATTTAATTTTTTTTTTTTTACTGGTGTAGGTTATTGCATTTGAAATGGACATGGCAGCTTGATTACTACTGGTGTTAATACACACAAAGTCAATGGTCCGGAACAAATAGAAGTATGGGTTAAGGGAAGAGTTTGTGAGGGCCAAAATAGGACTTTAAAATATTTGGTTATATGTTCAGATGTAAAAAATATAATTAACAAGAGAGATCTCCTTGACAATTACGTAATTTGTATGGTGATATTTTCGTTTTAGGTTCAGAGGCTTGGGTTTTGAAATGGTCTCACATACCTTAAGAGCAAGTTGTAGTGGGCTTTCTTACTCGTGGGATGGTTCCACCAAATTGTACTGTGAACCTTAATGTCTGATGATTGGTTTCTTCCCAATAGAACAACCTATGGAAAATGGATTATTGTATAGTCTAAAAGCGGAATTATATCAATTCCTCGTTATTCTCCATAATAAACAAACCATACAGTAGTATATTCTTGCATGGAAGGAATTATAGGAACCACACGTTTGAGTCATTTCAATCACCACAGTTTAATCCATTAAAACCACCGGTGCCTTTATCTCTCAAACTTGGACTTGATGAGAGCGACGACCTTCGCGTCCACCTGAAAAGCTTTGGCCAGCACATCGTCGGGAATCGCCGGATTCGATGCGAACAGGGTGGTGGAGGCGATCACTACTCCGGGGAGCTGGCTGTCGAAGGTGGTGATGGCGAGCGCCTTCTCCTTGCCGACGTTGTACTGGAAGTGGATGAGCCCCTTGGGCACCACGAACATCTCGCCGGGGTTCAGGACCTTGGAGAAGAACTGGTTACTGGTGCTGATGAACCCCACCAGCAGCCGGCCCTTGAGGAGGATGATGAGCTCGGTGGCCCTCGGGTGGCTGTGGGGCGGGTTGGTGCCGCCGGGGGCGACGTCGACGCGGTTCATGGAGACGCCGAGGGTGTTGAGCCCCGGGAAGCTGAGCACGTTGGCGTTGGTCACGTTGGACCCGAAGATATTGCTGGTGTTGCCCTCCCTGGACAGTCCGGCGAAGAAGAAGTCGTCGGACGTGACTCCGGACGCGGGCTTGCACGGGAACCCATTGACGACCACAGTAGCTCCGAGGTCGGCGACGCAGAAGTCCTGGAGAGGATCAGGGTCAGCGCGGATCAACACGAGGAGGACGGTGAAGGAGAGGAAGAGGAGGAATGGTCTCTTCGTGTAGTGCGACTCCATGGCTGCTTGTGATATCAATGGTGGTGTGAGAGAGGGTGAAGTCTGTATCGTTTATATATTTCTTCGTGTTCTGAATCATTCAACACCTTCTCCCTTTGACGCAAGCAATAGCGAGAATATGTTGGATATAGGAATTGATCTTCGAAGAAAGCATTGAATTGTTGAATAGAATATATATATATATATATATATATATATATATATATATTGCCGCAAGCAAAGCACGAAAAGTATTGTGTGTCGCTCTCTTCATATTGGAGACCAAATAAATCACTGGGAACGCAGGAAAAGTATGCTGTGTCTATTTCCTGGTAACTCGAAGGTTTACTAATATTTATACAAGTCAAGCTAGCAGACTCGGGCAACCCTCTTGGCTTCCACCAAGAGTGTGGGGACTTATTCCAGGTCGACCCATTCATTTACTCCATCCTAACTTTGCAATTAAGTAATATAATTAAATGTTAATTATTTTGATTAGGTAGGCCCATGATATCTTGATAGGAAAGGTATGAATTATCCACCTGACTTGGTCAGATCCATTTTATATGCATATGTTTTTATTCAGTCAAAAATGCTTTGTAACTTTTACTATATTAATATTGCATTAATTATTTGAGTCACGTTCTTATATATGTAGTACAAATAAGTTGGATGTAACTTTCGTACAACAGACTTTTGATTAAGTAAGAACAAGTCAAAAGGTCAAACGATCAACATGCAAATAAATGCAGTGTTTTGTGGGCAACACAAGTCAAACAAGAGCTACGATCAACGTGGCAATAAGACTAGCATCCACCGCGACATTCGATCATCGAGCACGTTACCAAACTCCTAATAACTTGAGTTCCCGATTATCCAAAATGGATTCAATTCATGTATTGCTTTTCGGACGGTATGGGGTTAGGGTTCCCTCCATAGTACTTCTTCAAATGCATACTCTATTTTCTGATTTTGGATAGTCGACCTATTTAGAATCTTGTCCAAATCATTCTCGAATAAAACAAGTTAAGAACCAGTCTTACGACAGAAACATAAAACAGGTAACCATATTTGACATTATATGTCGCATCCTGAATTTATAAAACAGATAATAAATTAATATTTTATTATTCATAATTTATATAATAAACTTTCTCCTTTTCTTTGAATTCAAATCTTTATCTTTATAAATATTCTATTAACCAGAAAAAAAAAAGACAATATCTTTTTTATAGGGTCACAAGTCTCTTCCACCCAAGCTTCAAATCTATTACACAGTAATAAATTACTTTAAAAATAAATATAAAATAAAAATATATCAGCGACCACACATGCGGGTAGGAACCTCAGAAAAATCATAAAGTTAATTTTTAATATTCATGAAATATAAATAAGTATCAATAATTCAATAAGAAAATATATCTATTCATCATAAAACTTATGCATAAGAAAAATGATGATAATTTTTTACATAATAAATAAAATCATGTATCAGCCACATGCAACACATACATAATAACAAAGGTGTACATCACCTGATGGTGCACTCTCCCAACAACGGATGGAGAGCCCTATTTCATGGGATGGATTCCTCCCAACAACGGATGAAGATAATCCATATCGCACTCTCAACAGCGGATAGAGTGGTATCCCTCACCCACCCAAGTGGAGACACGTTCCTCCCAACAACAGATGGAGGAATCGTCTAACCATCATGTCTAACGGCCCGCTAATCCCCGAAGGGAATCGCCATGCCTACCCTCGGCAAGGATACATAAACATCCATAATCATTCATTTACACTCATCCAATCACTCATGCATACATCAAAAAATCAATATGATTAAATATTATGAGAGACCATACTTGATGTAAATCTGCTAGACTATGTTCATTAGTGGCTCCGTACTGTGATGGGCCCGTAGCTCCTTTCACATATTGCACTACCAATGTGAACTACTAGTCTAGTCATATCTACTACATGATACTCATCATATTAATATCATAAATATAAGAAAATAGAAAATCAATAATTATTTTCAAATGGCATCTTTAGATAAAACCTTTAAATTCATCAAATCATCAAAGCATGAAATATCAATATCTCAATAGTCCTCAATCAACCAAAACTTTAATTAAAATAGCTCAATTGACTTAAACCAAACTCAATTCAATTATGATCTAACAAAACCAGTATCAAATCCTTATAGAACCAGTCTAGAATCACCCTAGACTATTCTAATTTAGATTTGATTGATCTCGATTAGGTCAAATAGGTTTGAACTAGTCAAGTTAATGTGGAATCACCCTAAACCAACTTTAACTGATCAAACCTGTTTGATTTAGTCAATTAACGAGCTCAAACTAATAGAGAGGGAGGAAATTGGACTATGTCATATAGTGCTAACCCAAACCGAACCAACCCACCTGAGTCTTGGACAGGTCACATACACTGCATATACATATTCTACATACACTACATATACATGTTCCAAGTACTAAGTTGAGTTGAAGTACGACAGATTGTATAAAAGGAGCGACTATATATCTAATGCCAATCGTGTAGCTGGGCAGGGTTAACTTCATGAACTAGCCTAAGCCTCACTTATAAGTTGGGCTAAGCCTTGCCATTAAACTAGGCCTTGCTTGGCTCACGAGTTGGTCCTAGACACATGAGTTTAGGTCATATCTAATCACATGAATTGGGTTGTACCTACCGCATGAGTTGGCCGATGCCTAGCCACATGGTTGGGTCGTACCTTACCATATGAGTTGGGTCATACATGGCCACATGGACTGGATCGTATCTAGCCACATGAGCTGGCTCATGCCTAACCATATAGTTAGGTCATACCTTACCACATGGGTTGAGTCATACATGGCCATATAGACTATATCGTACTTAGCTACATGGGTTGGGTCATGCCTAGCCATATGGGTTGAGTCGTACCTTACTATATGGGCTGGCTTCTACCCGGCCACATAGGTTGGGTCATGCTAACTCACATGGGCTAGGTTGTACTTGGTCACATGAGTTAGGTCGTACATGACCACTTGAGTTGAGTCGATTCAATCTGATCGATCAACTTGACTTAAGCCATACCCCAATTAGACTCCTCTTATCAAATTATATTTCAATATTTAAAATTATTAAAGAATGATTCAAATTCATTAATTAAAACTTTAAATTCATTATCTTAAATTTAAAACTAATTATATTATAAAAATTCATACATAATTCTTGAAACATAGATATATCTAATTAAATAAATTAGAACTACTATGTTAATCCAAAAATAAGAATTTTAATAATTAAATCAATATTAAAATTTACTTAAGCTTAAGAGATCGAGAGAAATCAAATAATCATTGTAACATCTCAAATCAATTATCATTATTTACTACTCATGAAATTTCGAAAGTAAAACATCATTATGCATCATAAAATAATAATAATCTCAATATCAAGATTTTAAAATATAAATCAAAGCTAATTGAAAATGAAAGGATCCTATCTTTTTTCGATTATCCTTTGCTTTCATAAAAATAATATAATATTCATCTCTTATTGTTCACACACAAAAATGGAATGTAAACTATTTACTCCCTGAATATCAAATCACTCATTAGGAAATAAATTAATTAATAATTTAATTAATTAATAGAATTCCTAACTTATCCATGTGATTAAGGAAACTAAATTTAATTATTTCCTTAACTATAGTACATAGATATAGAAATTAGTAATAAATAAATACATCATTTGTAGTAATTAATTTATGTTAAGAGAGAAATTATCGGTGATTACATTTCTCCCCCACTTAATAGGAATTTGGTCCCCAAATTTGATTAAACATAACATTAATCAATATAGTTAGCTTTTGAAATACTAAGTTAAAGGACAAAACTAAATTAGCTTGAAAAATATTTTGAGTAAAGGTACCACTCGAAAACTTTTTAAGTAAAAAATATATGACATATTAATAAAACTTATTGAATAAATTTGGTTTTAGATTACCCAAGTATATCAAATTCTATATCTAATAAATCAATAAAATTTTTAAGTTTTAAAATTAATTAATTGTTGACATAAAATATAAGTTGAGATATAACTGAACTAATAAAAGCAATTGAAATGATGAAAATTTATCCAACTATTCAACATATATTCTTTTATAATTTCAAATGATTTATATATTTCATATGTCAAAGAAATAATATTATATTTAATTCTCATTAGACTCGTCATTGCATTAAACAAATAATATCTGATAATTAATTTGATATTAAATCAAAACTATATTTAAATTAATTACTCATACAATTAAGTTTAAATATCAATGCACGATCAAATTTATTCAACTTTAAAGGCACATATTTTATTAATGCCAATAATAACTTCTATAAACCATCATAGCATATATCAAATCTAATATCAATTTTAAGAATAATATATGGTAACAAAAATTAAAAAGGCAAATACTTTATATTTATAAAAGATCCTTTAAAATTTTTACACTTAAAATTATCAAATCTTTTATATTCGGAAAGAATAACTAACTGAAACTTACTATAATCTTCATGAATAACGAAGTCAATTGATATTATTTATTTATCATATATATCTCAAAAATAAAATAAACTTTATATAATTAAATTAGCAACCCTAATCTACTTTTTAAAAAGGGGACAAGAGGATCGTAAAAAAAAAAATCATATTCAAAATGTAAAATCTCATGGAAGTTTATAAGATAAACTAATATGACACTTATTTTAATTTAAAGAAAAATTAAAATTTTAATCTTTTACTCAACAATCTCATTTCACGTCATTCAACGAGATTCTCTTTGACCAACATCTTTAATTAATTTTTTTTATATATAAAAAATCATATTTGATCCAAAAATAATCATAATATCTTAATTTCATATTTTAGTAACATTATAACCTAATTCTCAAAATCTAAATCTTAAAAACTAATTAGGTCATCTAATATTCTAACCCTAGGATCCCATATTCTAATATGTTCTCAAAATCATTGCTTTGATACCATTAAATTTATCATATCCTTAATTTATAAAACAAATAATGAATCAGTATTTTATTATCCATAATTTATATAATAAACTCCCTCCTTTTTTTTTCA